ACGACTCCATTCCGGCGTGCGGATGACGTCACACACGCACCGCTTTGTTTTGAAAAATGTTGGCATAGTGACCAAATATATTTAGACATTTTAGACCTATCAAAAATGTATAAAAATGATTTGTATGCTAGATATTTTTCTTTAACATTTATGTCTTCATTCAGCATCACCATATCCTTCCATTAAAGTAACATTTTTGAGAAGTTTATTGTTTTGATGAAAAAATGTAGCTATGACCTTTAATCAACATCCCCTCCATTTTTGTTTTGTGTGTGTGTTAGTGCCAAAGCGCTGCTCAGTTTTATGTTACCAGCATTGGACAATAATATGAGGAGCCACTGTGGATGGCCTGAAGAGTCAGAGCCGAAGGTCACAGAGCTCTGACCTCTAGGAACCTGATCCCTCCCGTTAGGAGGAGATTTCCTCTGGGACGGCCGCTGCTCTGACAGGTGGAATAACTCTGCCGGGTAAAATCCCCAACAAATCCACAAAGATAGTATTTCAATGAGTTAATATCTGACTAGGGTTGGTTTATACACAGAAACCAGGTCGTCTCCGTGGTCTTAGCAGTGAACGCAAATATGCCCCCACCCCATCCGCAGACACTCTGCTGCACCTCTCCCAAATTGTAGGTGACCGCAGTCAGCGTAACAGACACGAGGGCTCTGATTGGTCGAATCTACATCCACTCTATGCACTATGCACTATGTGTATATCCTGTTTGGTAGCTTACCGGCTTGTTTTGTTTGTATGACCGCCATTGTGGAAAACGACTCGTGAAGATTGACCAGCTAGAATAGCGAGGTGCGCGAGAACGCTGGGGCCCTTTTTCCACCTGGATCCCTGCTCTTTTTGGCCCTCATGACCCTCCGTTGTCACACAAACTTGCTCCCACTTCCTCACCGCCTCGGCCGTATCTAGACCCACAGCTAGTTCGTGATTGACACTCTTGCGTTGTGGCGTGGAATAGCAGCGCAGACCACGCTTCAAAATTGAGCATAAATCAACATCATATCTGCAACAAGATCACTGCGACACACTGCTGCGGGAGTATAACCAGTCCTTAAGAGACATCCGATTTGATCACTAGCTGGTTGACAGAAGCATCAGTAGGTAGTTAATGTATTGAACCTGCTGAATTGTGAGAAGTTAATGTGTTATAGGCTCGTACGATTTCAAACCCACAGTGTTTTCTAAACTAGAAAAGCACTCGCAGAGCTCCTCATATTGTGACCTAAACCTATAGCTAAAATTTTCACATCTGGATCTTAACTTTTGGAGTCCAATGGTGAAGCTGTGAATTAGGGGTGTAAATAATAATGGTTTTGTATCGATGCATCGATCCAACAGCCGACGATCCGATGCATCGACACGTCCGCAAGATAATCGATTTATGTTTTTTTTTCCTCCGGTCCATTTTTATCCATTTGCTCCTGGGCGTAATTCTCCTCCCGTGCTGCGGTGGCGCTAAACCTATTTTGCCCTCCTACCTCGCTTCCTGGTTATACTCTTGCAGCAGTGTGTTGCAGTGAGCTTGACACAGACATTTTGAATGTATGCTCAATATTGAAGCGTGGTCTGTGCTACACGCTGTGGGTCTAGATACGGCCGAGGCGGCGAGGAAGTGGGGGCGAGTTTAGTCCGACGCCG